CAGGGTTTGAGCCGACCTGCGACAGCCAAGATAAATGCCTCTACGACCCCCGGGAGTTTATGTATCGGTTCATCCGGTAAGAAGAACTGCGCCAAGTGTTCTGGCGAAGAATTATTGTCGAAACCGCAGAAGACAGCAAGGGTCTCGTACTACGGGTAAGACGCTAACGGCGAGAAGGTTGGCAGTGTGGAATCCTCGACCCTGCACCGTTTCAGGGATTTAATATCGGAGTCATTGAGGGTGATGGCCAGTGCCTTTGGGGAGGGATTAGCGGCGTGTCGTCCTCAGGCTTCATTTGTGTGGCAATTATTGAGCAGCGCAAATGATGATTAAAAGCGTTTATTTTTATTTTTTAATGAAGAGACGTCTGTTTTCCATACGCGAAATTAAGGAGAAAGATAATGTATTGTTATTACTATTTTCACTTTTTTTTCTTGTTCTTTTTTTTTTTTTTTTCCTTGCCATCCATGATTACTGAGTATGAAACAAGAAGGGAATAAATAACGGGACTCATGCTATGTCTCACTTTATTCGGACATCCGTAGCGGCTGTTGGGCTGTGCGGAGCGGGAGCCATATTGTATAGGTGTTGCTGGACACATAGGCCATCCCCTGAACACAAGAAAGAGCTTCTCCGTCTATCCGCCGTGGCGCTTTCCAGTGAAGTGGTGGACACGGTTCTTTTTCGCGATGGGGAAACTTTGAAGCTTCTTCGCCGATTTGTGAAGGATGTGGGCTTACATCCAGACACGGTGGGGACTCTTAAATCATATGTGAAGGAGGAATTTACCACCAACAAGGAAACAGTCGGTGCGCTGCGCAAGTTTGTTGTGGAGGATATTATCTGCGACACGTGGGTTAGGGATGAGCTCATCAGCATGTCGAAAGAAACTGGGAAAGAGATTATTCAGGATCGGGCCATATACCCTGGACTTTCTATGCATTTGCTTGCCTCTGCAGCGCAAGAAGGATTACAAACACCTGCCTTTAAGGATGCTTTGCGATGTGCATTGAGATTTGCTTTCTGGGTGGCGTTGGTGGGATTTTCGCCGGAATTCATCTTCAAGGAAATGAAAAATAGAAATCATCAGTGACAGATGGACATTTTGTGTTAATTTTTTTTTTTCGGAGTTTACGTGTTTCTTTGTGCATTCCCATTTTCACTTTTTGATGCCATTTATTTAATTTGTTCTTTCGATTGCTTTCAATAGCCCTTCCGTCCCTTTTGGTGTATAGGATGAGTCGCTTTGACGTGATCCTGTGTTTTGTTCCGCCGGGGTCCGGAAGTAAAGGGAATTCCCTGCCTGAGGAACACTTTAGACTCACATTGGGGGATCTTGTGGATAGTGTTGATGATGTTCTGAGTCGTGCCACACCCCGTTGTATACTGAACGCCATTGCTAAATGTGTCCACTCTGCTCCTGCATTTTCTCATCAGATGAATATTATTGTTGGTAAGGAGGGCTCCAGAGAAATTCTCTTTGGGCTCCTTTATGATCTTACCCATCACCAAAATGGTGACGATGCTGTGCCTCTGCAATGCATGTTCTTTGCTTCTGACGGGGCATCGGTGGTGTGTGAAATTGTTGATGAGGAGGAAATGGGCTCTGTGACTGAGGTGATGAGTGCAATGCGGCATATTGTGTTGGTTGCATTGAAGTTTAGATGCCGAACGATGACTCTCGTTGTGGTTGAGCAGCTCTCCACATCCCTTATTGCCTCCATGCTTGGCTATGCGTGGTGCAACGTGTGGCTCCTATTGGGCGGTGGCATAGATGTGGATCGCTCCGTTGCCGTCGTGCGCGAGGCACTTTCCGTTCGCGACGCCGTGCGGAACTTCTGCTATTTTCCTGAAGAAATGATCTCAGGGATAAAGGATGAGGAGGTGATGTTGCGGGCCCGTGCTTTTTTGGACGGGGAGGCACAAAGACTTGCCGCACCTTGGCAGCAGTACACTGAGCGAGATGAAACAGAGACAGGGAATGGACGTATTGCGGTCGAAAACGCAACGCCGCGAAATGAACGCGCAGAGCTGCAAGCTCTTTTGAGAGAAAGGGAAGAATACTTTGCCGAGCAAATTGAACTGAAGGAGCATGAGTTAACACAACTAAGACGGGCGTTGCAGCACGCAGAGGCAAATGAAGAGAAGCTGACGGAGGCTGAGGTGAGGATTACTGAGCTCGAGTCCTGTCTTGCTGAAAAGGAAGAGGAACTTTACATGTGGAAGGGAAATATAGACAAGAATCCACTGGAGGCGAGCGAAGAGACACAACAGGTGAAAATGTATTTTCATACCGGACAGGAGGAATTGTGTGATAGAATTGAGTCCCCGAAGAATGAGGATATCATAAATACTCTTCAGCGGGAGTTGTCGGAGACGCAGGCAAAGTTGCGTGAAATGCAACAACAGTGGGAGGCGTCAAGGGAGGAGAATCTGCAGAATGTCATGGAGTTTCAGGAGAGAGAACGGGAGTGGCAGATGGAGTTAAGGCGAAGGGAAAAGGAGCGGGAGACAGTGGTGGAGGAGTGTCGTCGACTTCGTTCCGTTGTAACCTCTCAGGGTTCCGGGCTGGATGTCGTCAAAGAGGCCATTGAAGCTACGCGTTTGCTCCAAGAACAGGAGCTGGATGAGCTTTTGAAAAAAATTAGGGCCATCTCCTCTGCAAGTGCACCTGCAAGTCATCGGCGTATCTCACCACGTTCCGGGAGACACTCGGACACGCAGAATTGCCCGCGGATGCTCTCGCCAGCCCCATTGTGAAGGATTGTTTTCTCCTCATGAATCTATCATTGTTTTTTGTTGTTGTTGTTGTTTTTCTGTCTGTCTGCAGGCGTGTGTGTAGCTTTTTTTTGGCTTTGTTTGTGCTTCTGCTGGTTGTGTTATTAGGGCGGTGAAACGGCACTTCGTTGGATACACAGACGCCCAGAGAGGGAGAGGAAGGGCAGATATATATATTCTTGCTTAGCCGCATTTTCATATCATTCACCACTCGTTGCGAAGGCAGACGATGGCGGTAGCAGCGGATGGCTCTTCGAATAGCGTCGTGCAACTGGTGTGTACGCAGCGGGGCTGGAAAACGTACCGCGTGCGCGGGCAGATGTTTGAAGTGGAGGACAGATATACATTGACTTCGATCGCGGGGTATGGAGCATACGGGGTCGTATGCGCCGCGTTTGACAGTGTAGACTTTCGAGATGTGGCGATCAAACGTGTCAATCATCTCTTTGAGGATCTGGTAGATGGCCGTCGCATCTGGCGGGAAATATGCATACAACGCATTCTTAGAGAAAATTGTTGTCGCAACATCTTGAATCTTACAAGAATTGCGCCACCCAGGGAAGGTGTAAAGGATTTTCGTGATTTGTACATAGTAACTGATCTTTACGATACCGATCTCCACACGGTTATTTACCGTGTTAAAAATAGATCTGTGGAAGCGTTGCAGCGAATTATGGTACGTGTTCTTCGTTGTTTGGCTGACATGCATACCCTGGGGATCATTCATCGTGATCTTAAACCGAGTAATATTTTATTAGGGGATGAACCGGACAGCGACAATGCAGTGGTGTGTGACTTTGGGCTTGCACGGGCAGGCCTGTCACATTTGAAGGAGCCGTTGGATCTCACGGATTACGTCGTTACCCGTTGGTACCGTCCTCCAGAGCTTTTGCTGATGTGCCGGTATAGTTTTCCTATCGACATGTGGGCCTTTGGGTGTATCATCGCAGAGTATGTGATTGGGCGCCCACTATTTGGGGGTCGTGACTATGTCCATCAGATGCAGCTGGTGCTTTCCAGTATTCCAGTGACAGGCACGGAGTTCATTGAAAACTCCAGCGGAAGCGCCATGAACTTCTTGAACGAGATTGCGAAAAAGTACAAGGATACGAGGCCGCTCGTCGGGCTCTTGGAAGGCCTGTCGTCTGATGGAGTGGAGTTGGTAACAAAACTTCTTGCGTTTGAGCCAAACAAGCGGTTGACGGCGCAGCAGGCTTTGCAGCACCCTTTTTTTGCCCGTGTTGGGGGCCGGGGAAAGTCGGAGTGCACCCGTCCTACAAAAGCCGACTTCTCCTTTGACTTGCATGCAGAGATATCGGAGGCACAGCTGCGACGAGCCATATGGGAGGAGATGACCCAATACCAAAAGAAGGAATTAAGGGGGGAAAAGGAGAAGAGACAGTCAAAAGAAGAATGAAAGCAGAAACGCACACGCACACACATAAAGACAAGAAAAGAAAATAGGGAGTGGGGGCCAAAAGAGGAAATAAAGCACAAAAGGAGACAACAAAGAAGGACCGGGATGGGGCAGTAACAACGATAGAAAAAGTTGAATGCGAACACTCACAATTAATAGGATTTTGTTTGGTTCTATGTGATTGTGGAGGGAGTAAAGTTCTTCGCTTTCATTCCCGGCCCATTTGTTGACTGGTTGTGACGTAGCAGGCCACGCTGAAGAATTTGTTGTGGCCTACGGTGACTGTGCTCACTCTTTCTTGCTCTCTTTTACCTACGTTTAATTTCTTTCTTTTTCTCACCCATAGACGGGGGCGCTGTGGACTAAACGACGATGGGGAAACGAAGCACAAATGGGGAAGGTGTGATGCCGCCTTTACCTTTTGTTTTGGTTTTTGCTTGTGTGCATTGTTTCATCCACCTTTTCGTCTTTTTGTGTTGTTGTTTTTTGCTCAGTCAAATCTCCTGGTGATTTGCCTGCCGTGTCGCATGATGAATGACGTATGGGACACCGCCATTTGTGGCCGCACGCAGAAGCTGTTCCCCCTGCTCTATTATTGCTGTTGTAGGTTTCTTTCAAAAGTATTGACTAAACAAATAAAAGAACCGGATTCAATAAAAGGGCAGAGGAAAGAAATTCAATTAATTTCGACGACACGCGCATACATTGAAGAAGAAAAAATAAATAAATAAATAAAAGAGGTCAAATAATAATAATAAGGATCATCGTACTAATTCGTCTACCGCAGCCATTTTCTTTGCCAAAAATGCTCTATGGGATCATTCTGCTGGCATTGTTGGAGTGGAAATTGGGTTGCTTGCGCTTTTTACTGAAGGTAATAACCCACACAGTGGAACGCTACTCGGCGCCAACCATCACGGTCCCTTTGCCACGGACAAAGTTTGATGTAGCACCAAGCACAGTCCCTCTCACACCCCGATCCGGTCCCCCAGGTACCATACAGTGCTATGACAAGGGAACGAACACACCGATTGGTCTTGTAAACGTTACTAGCCCAGATGAACTGCGTGCAGTGGTTTCTCGAGCTCGAGTAGCCCAAAAGGCATGGTCGAAGACGTCTTTTTCAACGAGACGGAAACTCCTTTTTAGTTTGCTGGATTACATCTTGGAGCATGAGGATTTTATTTGTGAAACTGCCTGCGTAGAATGTGGCAAAACGATGATGGATGGCTTTTTGGGGGAAATGCTCACCACTCTCGAGAAGCTTCGCTGGACAGCTGCTCGTGGGGAAGAGATCTTGGCTGAAGAAGTACGAGACGTGGGTCTCGTGGCTATTCACAAGCGCTCCGTTGTGAATTACGTTCCGTTTGGCGTTATTGGAGCCATTGTGTCGTGGAACTATCCCTTCCACAACATTTATGGGCCAATGATATCGGCACTTTTTGCAGGCAACGCATTTGTAGGGAAGGTGTCTGAATATTCTTCGTACTACGCGTCGTATTATCAGTCCATTGTAAGGGAAGGCTTGAAGCAATTGGGTCAGTCTCCAGATATTGTAGCGTTTGTCACGGGGTTTGCAGAGACGGGTGAGGCGCTTGTGAATTTGGTAGATAAGCTGACGTTTATTGGCTCCCCTGCCGTTGGGAAGCTTGTTATGCGTAACGCCGCTGCGACACTTACCCCCGTCTTGCTGGAACTTGGTGGCAAGGACCCCGCCGTGATATGTGACGACGCAGATTTGGAGCAGGTGGTTCCCATCATTATGCGTGGCACGTTCCAGAACTGTGGCCAAAAATTGTGTTGGGTCTGGAGCGTGTCATTGTGCACGAGTCCATTCACGACCTTGTTGGTGAAACGGTTGGAAACAGCTGTGAAAGCACTAACACAAGGCCCGGCGTCGCAAGGATTGTACGACTTGGGAGCCATGACCATGGGAGAATCCTCTATTCAAAAGATTCAGAGGGCT